TAAGCTACCTAATTTATCGTTGCTCATTGTGTATTTATTATTAAATGTTTTACCGTTCTATTATTTCTCCATTTTCTTTCTCTCTGCATTGTGGGTAAGGGCCCGTAAGTCAGCATTTCACGGTTGGTCTACACCTGTTGTTTACGAAACATGTGACGAATAAAATTCTATTTGAAAATTTGCTTTGAGGTATGTGATTGATTGCTACGAGAATAAACATAGCTACCTCTCCTGACATTCTGAGTCTTTCCTATTTTAATTACTATCATTTCCCCTATTTCATTATTTTGTTATGTCATTATAACCAATTATTCAGCATTATACAGTTATTAATTCCATATGAATGCGTCTATGCAGTGCTATAAATATTTCTGTAAAACAATATAACACATAAAGATCTATTTCAAAACGAATGTGTCTTGTTATACAATCTCATTAGCATAGACGTCAATTATTTCAGTTGTCAGGTGGGACATTTTTTGCATTGTCATGTCATGTATTCTTGTTGACTAGTATAGAAAGCGTTTGGCATCACAGCTCAGGTCAAGGGTTTGTCATCCCTGTTTTACTCCCCCTCAATCTTTGGACCTTGGTCTGGTTCTTAAAAGAAGGGAAACTGTGAGAGGGTGCTCAGAAGTCTGGTGGCAGCTGGTACATACTGCTCAGAAGTCTGGTGGCAGCTGGTACATACTGCTCAGAAGTCTGGTGGCAGCTGGTACATACTGCTCAGAAGTCTGGTGGCAGCTGGTACATACTGCTCAGAAGTCTGGTGGCAGCTGGTACATACTGCTCAGAAGTCTGGTGGCAGCTGGTACATACTGCTCAGAAGTCTGGTGGCAGCTGGTACATACTGCTCAGAAGTCTGTTGGCAGCTGGTACATACTGCTCAGAAGTCTGGTGGCAGCTGGTACATACTGCTCAGAAGTCTGGTGGCAGCTGGTACATACTGCTCAGAAGTCTGGTGGCAGCTGGTACATACTGCTCAGAAGTCTGGTGGCAGCTGGTACATACTGCTCAGAAGTCTGGTGGCAGCTGGTACATACTGCTCAGAAGTCTGGTGGCAGCTGGTACATACTGCTCAGAAGTCTGGTGGCAGCTGGTACATACTGCTCAGAAGTCTGGTGGCAGCTGGTACATACTTCTCAGAAGTCTGGTGGCAGCTGGTACATACTGCTCAGAAGTCTGGTGGCAGCTGGTACATACTGCTCAGAAGTCTGGTGGCAGCTGGTGCATACTGCACAGAAGTCTGGTGGCAGCTTGTACATACTATGGGGCTGTCTCAGGAAATGTAGGGAAGATTAACTTTATGGGATGTATTAGACCATGAAAAGTAAGAAAAGAGTCAACATTGATCTGATGGACAAAACACGGAGCTTCTACTGCTTCTCATCTGTAGTCTCCTCAGTTGTGGTATATCCAATCATTTATTTGGCAGATATCCAATGTTGTCCGTAAAATGGATCTGTAAAATGTTATTTTATATCCATTGTATTTGAAAGAAATTAAGCAATCTGGATACCATGTAGCAATTGATATGAAATGTATTCATTATCATACTTAATTTTATTACATATTTACTGTTTTTGTGTGTTTGTAATTTCTTTCTTTTGGGACCAAAAATACATTTTCTTTTAACACTTATTTACAGACATTCCAAGATTCACATCTTTATTTTATAAACGTTATATGTTGCAAGCCAGTGGATCCGTTGATCAACGTTTGTAGACGTAATATCTTTCAACTGACATTTGCAATGCCTATCGATCAACCTATCACAACTACACTGATAGACTATAGATGTAGGGGTTTACATTGAACCTCTCAGGATGAGAGCATAGGTTAAATGACTAGCATGTCAATATAGGCCCAATTTACTGCCACTAGTATAACTCTATAATTATCAGATGTATACAAAACACCTTATGATGCCATTGAATCGGTGACTCAGTGACAGGCAATTCAAATAAAACATTGACAGCGTTGCCTTGACTTTAAGCGTTAATATGGATGGGCTTTGTAGATCTGTCATGGGACTTTTATGACCGAAGTAGGAGTCTGATTATGCCTTTTCAACTTTGGCATAAACTGGGGATTACATAAACTGGGGATTACATAAACTGGGGATTACATGTCTATTCTAGAGCAGAAAAACAGTGATTTTATTGTAACTCATCCAATTATTGATAAAGTAACACAATTGTCATCATTATAAAATCTTAACGTTATGAAGGTTTTTACTCAAAATGTACTATTGTTGGACAATATATGTCAAATAGATTTTCCTTAACTTGTGATTTTGAAAAATTCTAACAGTTTTTAGACAAACAGCTAAACACTCCTGTGATTGTTGTGTTGTCAGCCTTCGGTCAGTGTGAGGAGGGATGGAGAGCATATGAGGACAAGTGTTACTACTTCTCTACCAACAAAAAGTCCTGGGATGATGCCCGCACAGACTGTGTGGAACGGGGGAGCCATCTGATGAGCATCCTGGACATTCATGAGAGGGTGAGCTTCTGGGTTTGAGATGCGTTCTACAGTAGTCTAGTTCATAGCTGCTGGATAGGGCTCTGTACTGTAACCTCTGCTCTCTCCTGGTAGACATGGGTGCGGACTCAGATTGGTACAGAGATTTTCTGGATGACTGGCTGACTGGTTGACTGGTTGACTGGCTGACTGGTTGACTGGCTGACTGCTTGACTGGCTGACTGGTTGACTGGCTGACTGGCTGACTGGCTGACTGCTTGACTGGCTGACTGGTTGACTGGTTGACTGGCTGACTGGCTGACTGGCTGACTGGTTGACTGGTTGACTGGCTGACTGGCTGACTGGCTGACTGGTTGACTGGCTGACTGGCTGACTGGCTGACTGGTTGACTGGTTGACTGGTTGACTGGCTGACTGCTTGACTGGTTGACTGGCTGACTGGTCGACTGGTTGACTGGTTGACTGGCTGACTGCTTGACTGGTTGACTGGCTGACTGGCTGACTGGTTGACTGGTTGACTGGTTGACTGGCTGACTGCTTGACTGGTTGACTGGTTGACTGGCTGACTGGTTGACTGGCTGACTGCTTGACTGGCTGACTGGTTGACTGGCTGACTGGCTGACTGGCTGACTGGTTGACTGGCTGACTGGCTGACTGGCTGACTGCTTGACTGGCTGACTGGTTGACTGGTTGACTGGCTGACTGGCTGACTGGCTGACTGGTTGACTGGTTGACTGGCTGACTGGCTGACTGGCTGACTGGTTGACTGGCTGACTGGCTGACTGGCTGACTGGCTGACTGGTTGACTGGTTGACTGGTTGACTGGCTGACTGGTTGACTGGTTGACTGGCTGACTGGTCGACTGCTTGACTGGCTGACTGGTTGACTGGCTGACTGGTTGACTGGTTGACTGGCTCATGGTTTTTTTCTACAGAAATGCACAACAATAGCATGTCAAGTTGAAATGAATAGCACTCAGTTTAGTCTGATGCTTCGGCTTCGGCTCAACTGGGGAACTCAAGCCCAACAACCAGGTCTTGAATTATAGAAATATAGTTTCCTTCTCCTGGCTGCCAATTGCCATGCTACCTCTCACGCACATGACTCTATCAGATAATTCAATTCTTATTAGCCAATGCCCATCACGTGACCGGGTCCTTCTCGCAGGCCTTGCAATTATTAAAGCTCTTTCAAGTTGGCTGTTGATCATTGCTAGACAGCCATTTTCAAGTCTTGCCATAGATTTTCAAGCCGATTTAAGTCAAAACTGTAACTAGGCCACTCAGGAACATTCAATGTTGTCTTGGTAAGCAACTCCAGTGTAGATTTGGCCTTGTTTTTTAGGTTATTGTCCTGCAGAAAGGTGAATTCATCTCCCAGTGTCTGTTGGAAAGCAGACTGGACCAGGTTTTCCACTAGGATTTTGCCTGTGCTTAGCTCTATTACGTTTCTTTTTATCCTAAAAAACTCCCTAGTCCTTGCCGATGACAAGCATACCCATGATGCAGCCACCACCATGCTTGAAAATATGAAGAGTGGTACTCAGTGATGTGTTGTGTTGGATTTGGCCCAAACATAACTCTTTGTATTCAGGACAATAAGTTCATTTCTTTGCCACATCTTTTGCAGTTTTACTTTAGTGCCTTGTTGCAAACTGTTCAAAAGTCACCATTGGCCTCACAGTGAAATCCCTGAGTTGTTTTCGTTCCTCTCTGGCAACTGAGTTAGGAAGGATGCCTGTATCTTTGTAGTGACTGGGTGTATTGATACACCATCCAAAGTGTAATTAATAACTTCACCATGCTCAAAGGGATTTTAAATGTCTGCTTTTTTTTTTATATTTACGCATTTACCAATAAGTGCCCTTCTTTGCGAGGCATTGGAAAACCTCCCTGGTCTATGTAGTGTAATCTGTTTGAAATGCACTGCTTGACTGAGGGACCTTACAGATAATTATATGTGTGGGGTACAGAGATGAGGTAGTCATTCAGAAATAATATTAAACACTATTATTGCACACAGAGTGAGTCCATGCAACTTCTTATGTGACTTGTTAAGCAAATGTTTACTCCTGAACTTGTTCAGGTCTGCCATAACAAAGGGGTTGAATACTTACTGACTCAAGACATTTCAGCTTTTAATTAATTAATTCAACTTTGACATTATGGGGTATTGTGTGTAGGCCAGCGACAAAAAAATCTCAATTTAATTAATTTTAAATTCAGGCTGTAACACAACAAAATGTGGAAAAGTCAATGGGTGTGAATACTTTCTGAAGGCACTTATGTTTTTCTTAACAGAATAGCTAGTGTTTTTCGGTTTTCTTGGCTATTTTGGTTAATGGCCTTGGTGCCCTGGCAGATTGGCCTCTTTAACAGGCAAATCAACTTACGCCTTGCCCCTAAAACCACGAAATCCCAGGCCTGGGTAGAACTGTATATTAACTGCCTTATTGTATTTAACAGTCACAGTGATTGTATAGAACCGGTTTTATGATGTGTTCGTTTTCCCGACAGTGAAAAGCAGAACGGGATTTGTGGCGCAGTGATCAAGGAGGCTGGACAGGACTTTGGGAAGTGGAAGAGTCATGTCTGCAGTAATGAGCGTCCTTACATGTGCAAAAAGGGGACTAAACAGTATGTTCAGATCTTCAGGACTCAGTAGGGGGAGAGTAGGTTAAGTTGAGCCAAAGGGGAAAGTTGAGCCACCCTTGTTTCTAGGAAACCACACATGGAAAAAGTGGTAAGCAAGTTAGGTCCGAAAGACGGATTTTCTCCAAGTCAAATACATGTATTGTGTTGGAGGTTTCATGATGCTTGTATCTAAACCAAAGTAGGTAATTTAAAGATTGTTCTATACATCCGTTGGGGTTTCTTGTAAGCTTCAGTATGAGGTCCTAAACCTAGCAGGAAAGTGCATCCTTGTAGCGGTGTGGCCTTGGGGTAAGTTCTGCCAATGGCCATGAGGTAAGTTAAGACGATAGTTGATCCAATGGCAAGTTAAGCAAAATGAACAGATTTCTTCCCAGGCATAAAGCAAGGCATTATCACTGGGCTGTGAGGTGACAACAGAGCCTATGTTAAGTGTGTGTTAGGTGTTAAGCCTGTGTTAAAAGATGCTTAAAATGATTAAAAGACAAAAAAGTGATTGTGATTGTGTTGAATTGTGTTTGGGGAAATAAAGATAGACATGGTTTTTAAAATGTAGTGGTAATATTTCATTCAGTGCAGACATTTGTAGGCGGCTTAACTTACCCGGGGTAAGTTGTGACAACAGACCACTTTTTTTGGGACAAGCTATGTTTTCAAAACTGTAATGTATTAAGATTGTTTCCAGGAATACACAACATCCTCAAACACTATAATTCCCTTGACGGAGTGATACTGAATGTAAAAAAATTGCTCAACTTACCCCACTCTCCCGTACTGGATAACTATGCAAATTCCTATGTCATTTTTTTGTAGCATTACTTATTAATATCGCGACATAACATCATGTTTTCTTTCCCTTTGCCCTCGTGGTTTGGACCAGCTTCAGTGGGAACTGTTACTGCAACAAAATGCTCCTGACCAGCTGGCACTAGGCGTTCAGACCTGGGTTCTAACCTGTTGACAATTAAGACGTAAAGAAACAAATTGATCTAGTGATTGGTTTTGAAAAAAATTAAACTAGGACTGAAAATGTCCCGAGCAGTACTTCATCAACACCTGGACTAAATGAAGGGGGAAGCGCCTGATGTGTTGACTGGCCTGTCGGGTGCATCATACCTACAGGCTTGCATTGAAATCAATCATTCAAGAGTTTCTCGCTGTAACTTGTGGAGACACTGGCCTGATCACAACTATAGTGTAGGGTGCTGCTGGTGTAGGGTGCTGCTGGTGTAGGGTGCTGCTGGTGTAGGGTGCTGCTGGTGTAGGGTGCTGCTGGTGACAACGTTTTAAAGAGAGCCTCACTAAACAATTGATCAAACTAAAACTTCAATGAAACTGAAGTAGGGCTAGTAAGTCATCTCCCAGTGTTGTGATGTCACTAGATCAGGACCAGGATGGTACATTCAGATGGGTGGACAAAACAGATATTATGTTCTCCAATTGGAAACCTAACTTTCCCAAGAACACAGCAAACCTCTGGGACTGTGGTCAAATCTACACCTGTAAGGGCATGTGGTCTGTACTACATTAATCACTTAATCCATCAACAAACTCTGGATCATAGAGGAGGAAAGGGACAGAACTTTGTTTTATTGTTTTTGCCTTACAGGAGATTTCTCTGGAAAATGGGAAACAACCAACTGCTTCAAAAACCTGGGATACATTTGTAAAATGGTGGGGGGGTCAAAATGTTAAGCCTACCTCTGTTCCAGGTTAGTGGCTATATTGTTCGTGTTCATGTTATTCATGTCAACACATTACTCATGTCAGTGATCTGAATCTGAGAGTTCTCTTTTATACCTATACAGTATATTGTTTGAAATATAACAAAATACTTTGCATTGTTTTGGTGTAGATTCTCATTGTGATGCTGGATATCTTCTCTTGTTTTGGTGTAGATTCTCATTGTGATGCTGGATATCTTCTCTTGTTTTGGTGTAGATTCTCATTGTGATGCTGGATATCTTCTCTTGTTTTGGTGTAGATTCTCATTGTGATGCTGGATATCTTCTCTTGTTTTGGTGTAGATTCTCATTGTGATGCTGGATATCTTCTCTATGGAGACTAGTGCTATCACTTTGAGACTGAAATGGTGAAAAAATGGCAACATGCTGAGACTTACTGTGCCAATCAAATTGACCACTTAGCCAGTTGTCATACTCAAGAGGAACTGAGCTTTTTCACTGGTGAGCCATTGACAAAAAGTACTCTAGATAGCACCTGTAAAATATATATTACTTTTGTTGAACACTTTTAAACGTCATTTTGAAGTACTGAGTGAGAGTTAGACTGCAGCTCATATGGCTGAACCATCCTGGATTGGTCTAAGTGACATTCAGACAGAAGCACAGTGGGTCTGGACTGATGGGACTCCAGCCGTGAGTGACAAATAGGCAATAACCAACGAACAATACAAATAATGATATAATAACTTACTTTTGCTTCATTCTCTCACAAAGGACTTCCTGCCGTGGGCGCCCAACCAGCCTGATAATTGGCAGGGCAACGAGGATTGTGCTCATGTTCGGGAAACGCCCCAAGCGGCCCCAGGGCGACTCAACGATGAGTTCTGTCCCGCCACATTAGAATCTTTCTGCAAAAAAAGGTCTGATTTGGTCATTTCAATCCGCCTCATGGTCTTTTATAAGACATTTATATTTGTCATGAATATAATGGTTTTTGGATCAACATTTTGGTCAAATAATATAAAACTATTAACCACTCATCTGTCTTTCTAATCCTCAAGGTCAAGGACCCCCACCCAGGCCTCCCACATCGGGGCAGCTTCTCTCTTATGCTCACCATTCTTTTCCCTCACAAAATCTCTTGCAATTTCCAACCATTTCCAACAAAAAAACTCTAACACTCTCAGGATAGTGGAATATAACAAGGTTGTAGCCTAAACCCTACCTTATTCCAAAAATGTGATATCTGATTTACGCATATGTTTTCATATGTCTTCCATGGGAGGCGCCACAGAACCTGGCAGGGTAATAGTCTGTCTTCCATGGGAGGCGCCACAGAACCTGGTAGGGTAATAGTCTGTGTCTTCCATGGGAGGCGCCACAGAACCTGGTAGGGTAATAGTCTGTGTCTTCCATGGGAGGCGCCACAGAACCTGGTAGGGTAATAGTCTGTGTCTTCCATGGGAGGCACCACAGAACCTGGTAGGGTAATAGTCTGTGTCTTCCATGGGAGGCACCACAGAACCTGGTAGGGTAATAGTCTGTGTCTTCCATGGGAGGCACCACAGAACCTGGTAGGGTAATAGTCTGTGTCTTCCATGGGAGGCACCACAGAACCTGGCAGGGTAATAGTCTGTCTTCCATGGGAGGCGCCACAGAACCTGGTAGGGTAGTAGTCTGTGTCTTCCATGGGAGGCACCACAGAACCTGGCAGGGTAATAGTCTGTCTTCCATGGGAGGCGCCACAGAACCTGGTAGGGTAATAGTCTGTGTCTTCCATGGGAGGCGCCACAGAACCTGGTAGGGTAATAGTCTGTGTCTTCCATGGGAGGCGCCACAGAACCTGGTAGGGTAATAGTCTGTGTCTTACATTTACATTTACGTCATTTAGCAGACGCTCTTATCCAGAGCGACTTACAAATAGGTGCATTCACCTTATGGATTACTTTATCCTATCCCAGGTATTCCTTAAAGAGGTGGGGTTTCAAATGTCTCCGGAAGGTGGTGAGTGACTCCGCTGTCCTGGCGTCGTGAGGGAGCTTGTTCCACCATTGGGGTGCCAGAGCAGCGAACAGTTTTGACTGGGCTGAGCGGGAACTATGCTTCCGCAGAGGAAGGGGAGCCAGCAGGCCAGAGGTGGATGAACGCAATGCCCTCGTTTGGGTGTAGGGACTGATCAGAGCCTGAAGGTACAGAGGTGCCGATCCCCTCACAGCTCCATAGGCAAGCACCATGGTCTTGTAGCAGATGCGAGCTTCAACTGGAAGCCAGTGGAGTGTGCGGAGGAGCGGGGTAACGTGAGAGAACTTGGGAAGGTTGAACACCAGACGGGCTGCGGCATTCTGGATGAGTTGTAGGGGTTTAATGGCACAGGCAGGGAGCCCAGCCAACAGCGAGTTGCAGTAATCCAGATTGGAGATGACAAGTGCCTGGATTAGGACCTGTGCCGCTTCCTGTGTAAGGCAGGGTCGTACTCTCCGAATGTTGTAGAGCATGAACCTGCAGGATCGGGTCACCGCCTTGATGTTAGCGGAGAACGACAGGGTGTTGTCCAGGGTCACGCCAAGGCTCTTCGCACTCTGGGAGGAGGACACAACGGAGTTGTCAACCGTGATGGCGAGATCATGGAACGGGTATGGGAGGCGCCACAGAACCTGGTAGGGTAATAGTTTGTCTTCCATGGGAGGCGCCACAGAACCTGGTAGGGTAATAGTCTGTCTTCCATGGGAGGCACCACAGAACCTGGTAGGGTGATAGTCTGTGTCTTCCATGGGAGGCACCACAGAACCTGGTAGGGTAATAGTCTGTCTTCCATGGGAGGCACCACAGAACCTGGTAGGGTAATAGTCTGTCTTCCATGGGAGGCACCACAGAACCTTGTTGGGTAATAGTCTGTCTTCCATGGGAGGCACCACAGAACCTGGTAGGGTGATAGTCTGTGTCTTCCATGGGAGGCACCACAGAACCTGGTAGGGTAATAGTCTGTCTTCCATGGGAGGCACCACAGAACCTGGTAGGGTAATAGTCTGTGTCTTCCATGGGAGGCACCACAGAACCTGGTAGGGTAATAGTCTGTCTTCCATGGGAGGCGCCACAGAACCTGGTAGGGTAATAGTCTGTGTCTTCCATGGGAGGCACCACAGAACCTGGTAGGGTAATAGTCTGTCTTCCATGGGAGGCGCCACAGAACCTGGTAGGGTAATAGTCTGTGTCTTCCATGGGAGGCACCACAGAACCTGGTAGGGTAATAGTCTGTCTTCCATGGGAGGCACCACAGAACCAGTGGTGGATAAAGTACCCAACCATCATACTTGTGTAAAAGTTAAGATACCTTAATAGAAAATGACTTAAGTAAAAGTGAAAGTCACCCAGTAAAATACTACTTAAGTAAAAGTCTAAAAGTATTTGGTTTGAAATATACTTAAGTATCAAAAGTAAAAGTATAAATAATTTCAAATACCTTATATTAAATAAACCAGCCGGCACAATCTTCTTGTTTGTTAAATTTACAGATAGCCAGGGGCACTCTCTAACACTCAGACGTAATTTACCAACAAAGCATTTGTGTTTAAAGAGTCCACCAGATCAGAGGCAGTAGGGATGACCAGGGATGTTCTGTTGATAAGTGTGTGAATTGGACCATTTCCCTGTCCTGCTAAGCATTCAAAATGTAATGAGTACTTTTGGGTGTCAGGGAAAATGTATGGAGTAAAAAGTACATTATTTTATTTAGGAATGTAGTGAAGTAAAAGTAAAAATAGTAAAGTAAAGTACAGATACTCCCAAAAACTACTTAAATAGTACTTTAAAGTATTTTTACTTAAGTACTTTACACCACAGCACAGAACCTGGCATGGTACCATTCTGTGTGTCTTCGATGGGAGGCACCCAGTGCTTGACTTGGGCCGGAGCTGTCCAGAACGCCATACCTGCACCTCCAATTTTTCAGGAACTGCATACCGGCTCCACGCATTCACACATACAGCGTCAAAAGAAAAGTTGATCAAATCGGAATGTAGGCGGGATCTGCATTGAATAGCAGTGGAGAGTGTGCATGCCTATCTTGATTCTGCTTTGTTCAAGTTCATTTGCCGCTTGTCAGTGAATCCGATGTACGCGTGCCGGTATACTGTTTGAGTTTGAGAATGCACAGATTGAGAATGCGCCAACCTGAATGCGCAGGATGCGGGTTACTGCGGTCATGAAAATCCTGGAAAAGTAATGCAATTGTAATATTGTCTTTTCCTTTTAAAACGTATGAATCAATCACTTAAAAAATCTACATATCAGCATGATCCAAATTAGGCCTACCCTTTAGCGCGCCTCTCTGTGTGTGCCGGGCATCATCTGTGTTTGTGCCAGTGCCCAAGGAGAGAGAGACATTTCAGCAGCAGGTAGCCTGTAAATCATTATAGACTAACTATGCTGAACAAAAATATAAACGCAACATGCAACAATTCCAACGATTTTATTGAGTTACAGTTCATATAAAGGAAATCAGTCACTTGAAATAAATTCATTAGGCCCTAATCTATGGATTTCACATAACTGGGCAGGGGCTCAGCCACTGGGTTTTTCCCTACAAAAGGGCTTTATTACAGACAGAAATAGTCCTCAGTTTCATCAGCTGTCCGGGTGGCTTGTCTCAGACGATCCCGCAGGTGAAGAAACTGGATGTGGAGGTCCGGGCCTGGCGTGGTTGCATGAGTTCTGCGGTTGTGAGGCCGGTTGGACGTACTGCCAAATTCTCTAAAACGACATTGGAGGTGGCTTATGGTAGAGAAATGAACATTAAATTATCTGACAACAGCTCTGGTGGACATTCCTGCAGTCAGCATGCCAATTGCACGCTCCTTCAAAACTTGAGACATCTGTGGCATTGTGTTGTGTGACAAAACTGCACATTTTAGAGTGGCCATTTATTGTTCCCAGCACAAGGTGCACCTGTGTAATGATCATGCTGTTTAATCAGCTTCTTGATATGCCACACCTGTCAGGTGGATGGATTATCTTGGCAAAGGAGAAATGCTCACTAACAGGGATGTAAACAAATGTGTGCACACAATTTGAGAGAAATAAGCTTTTTGTGCATATGGAACATTTCTGGGATCTTTTATTTCAGCTCATGAAACATGGGACCAACACTTTACATTGTTGTTCAGTGTATATAGCAAATTCAAAATATAGCTTGTGGTATGGCTAGTTATTTCGCTGTTTAGCTATAAGCATTAATGTCGTTGACTCATTGTCACCTTTCCACCGTCACTGTTGAGAAATAAATCTGACACCATTATTGGAAAGCTGGCATTCCCCTCTATTAAACAGTAGTCTATCCATATAATTCAGACAACGTAAAAAATACTTAGAATAGCCTAATTGACAAATAAGTTCTATGCTGTGCATAGACCTCCCCTGAAACACAAATATTTTAACCTTACAAGGTTATAGATAAACATGTCTATACAAGTAGCCTGCCGTATCCATATTATCCCTGATTCATTTAATGAGGGAATAATTGTATAAAGACGTAAAAGTATTTGGTTGTAATGTTGCAATGTTTTATGTCAAGGGTGGGCAACCATCCTCCAGGAGAGCTACTGGGGGTGCAGGCTTTTATTCCAGCCCCGCTCTAACCCACCACACTGTAGCCTAAACATCAGCTGCTCAACAGGACCTTGATAAGCAGACTCGGGTGTGTTTCAGGGTTCGATACCCAGTAGCTCTCCAGATGGAGGGTTTACCACGTGTTATATACAGCAGCCTAACAGTGCAGTTATCCAAATTTGTGGGGGGGTTAAGTGCCTTGATCAAGGGCACAATGGTAGGAGACAGTAGGCCTACATGGGATCAGAGACCAGTAGTCTTCTAGTGTCAATACCACATTTATGCAGACTTTTTCATGTAGGCTCCAATTATTGGTCATGGAAATTTGGTGATGGAAAAGTCATGAAATTCCGTCTGTAAAAATGTGTATGAACCCTTAACAGTGACTGATCAGAGGTCTCTATAGCATAATGTAATTCATTTGGGAATTTCTGTGAACATAGTCTGATGGACCGACTCCAGCACCTCTTTCATCCCAAGTCAAGCACTGGAGGCAGCACAGAACCTGGTAGGGTAATATTCTGTATTTTCTGCAGGATGGAATGAGAAGTGTCACTCACCACCTTCCAGAGACACTTGAAACCCCACCTCTTTAAGGACTACCTGGGATAGGATAAAGTAATCCTTCTACCCCCCCTTACCCCACCCCAAAGAAAAAATATTTAAAATATTTAAAAAAATAACATATTGTAAAGTGGTTATCCAACTGGCTATAAGGTGAATGCACCAATTTGTAAGTCGCTCTGGATAAGAGCGTCTGCTAAATGACGTAAATGTAAATGTGGCTCTTGGATGTCAGACCCGTTCAATGACTACTGCTACCTGTTTAACTACCTGTCCACGAGGAAATGGGCTGATGCACGTGCTGACTGTGTGAACCAGGGAGGGGACCTTCTCAGCATCACTGAGCCCTTTGAACAGGCCTTCATTCAATGTACAGTTGTGTTAAAAAGTGCTATAAACATTTTCAGTAAAAATATAATACTATAACAATATTGTCTATTCACAACAGCAATTCAAATGAGTAGTATTCTGATGTGTTGTGTTCATGAACAGCTCAGGTCCAGCTGATTCCTACGGGGGTGTCCATGTGGATGGGGGGACATGACTCCATTACAGAGGGGGGCTGGGAGTGGACTGATGGCTCTCCTTTCAGATACATCCACTGGAACTCAGGTAAAAGTCCTAATGCTTTCAGATACATCCACTGGAACTCAGGTAATAGTCCCAATGCTTTCAGATACATCCACTGGAACTCAGGTAATAGTCCTAATGCTTTCAGATACATCCACTGGAATGCAGGTAATAGTCCTAATGCTTTCAGATATATCCACTGGAATGCAGGTAATAGTCCTAATGCTTTCAGATATATCCACTGGAATGCAGGTAATAGTCCTAATGCTTTCAGATATATCCACTGGAATGCAGGTAATAGTCCTAATGCTTTCAGATACATCCACTGGAATGCAGGTAATAGTCCTAATGCTTTCAGATACATCCACTGGAATGCAGGTAATAGTCCTAATGCTTTCAGATATATCCACTGGAACTCAGGTAATAGTCCTAATGCTTTCAGATACATCCACTGGAACTCAGGTAATAGTCCTAATGCTTTCAGATACATCCACTGGAATGCAGGTAATAGTCCTAATGCTTTCAGATACATCCACTGGAACTCAGGTAATAGTGCTAATGCTTTCAGATACATCCACTGGATTGCAGGTAATAATCCTAATGCTTTCAGATATATCCACTGGAATGCAGGTAATAGTCCTAATGCTTTCAGATACATCCACTGGAATGCAGGTAATAGCCCTAATGCTTTCAGATATATCCACTGGAATGCAGGTAATAGTCCTAATGCTTTCAGATACATCCACTGGAAAGCAGGAAATAGTCCTAATGCTTTCAGATATATCCACTGGAACTCAGGTAATAGTCCTAATGCTTTCAGATACATCCACTGGAACTCAGGTAATAGTCCTAATGCTTTCAGATACATCCACTGGAATGCAGGTAATAGTCCTAATGCTTTCAGATACATCCACTGGAACTCAGGTAATAGTGCTAATGCTTTCAGATACATCCACTGGATTGCAGGTAATAGTCCTAATGCTTTCAAATATATCCACTGGAATGCAGGTAATAGTCCTAATGCTTTCAGATACATCCACTGGAATGCAGGTAATAGTCCTAATGCTTTCAGATACATCCACTGGAACTCAGGTAATAGTCCTAATGCTTTCAGATACATCCACTGGAATGCAGGTAATAGTCCTAATGCTTTCAGATACATCCACTGGAATGCAGGTAATAGTCCTAATGCTTTCAGATATATCCACTGGAATGCAGGTAATAGTCCTAATGCTTTCAGATACATCCACTGGAATGCAGGTAATAGTCCTAATGCTTTCAGATACATCCACTGGAACTCAGGTAATAGTCCTAATGCTTTCAGATACATCCACTGGAATGCAGGTAATAGTCCTAATGCTTTCAGATATATCCACTGGAATGCAGGTAATAGTCCTAATGCTTTCAGATACATCCACTGGAATGCAGGTAATAGTCCTAATGCTTTCAGATACATCCACTGGAACTCAGGTAATAGTCCTAATGCTTTCAGATATATCCACTGGAATGCAGGTAATAGTCCTAATGCTTTCAGATACATCCACTGGAAAGCAGGAAATAGTCCTAATGCTTTCAGATACATCCACTGGAATGCAGGTAATAGTCCTAATGCTTTCAGATACATCCACTGGAATGCAGGTAATAGTCCTAATGCTTTCAGATACATCCATTGGAACTCAGGTAATAGTCCTAATGCTTTCAGATATATCCACTGGAATGCAGGTAATAGTCCTAATGCTTTCAGATACATCCACTGGAAAGCAGGAAATAGTCCTAATGCTTTCAGATACATCCACTGGAATGCAGGTAATAGTCCTAATGCCTTCAGATACATCCACTGGAATGCAGGTAATAGTCCTAATGCTTTCAGATACATCCACTGGAATGCAGGAAATAGTCCTAATGCTTTCAGATATATCCACTGGAATGCAGGTAATAGTCCTAATGCTTTCAGATATATCCACTGGAACACAGGGAATAGTCCTAATGCTTTCAGATACATCCACTGGAACTCAGGTAATAGTCCTAATGCTTTCAGATACATCCACTGGAACTCAGGTAATAGTCCTAATGCTTTCAGATATATCCACTGGAGGAACTCAGGAAATAGTCCTAATGCTTTCAGATACATCCACTGGAACTCAGGTAATAGTCCTAATGCTTTCAGATACATCCTCTAGAACGCAGGTAATGTTTCTTTTTTAGGATGTTTTTTCCATGTATTTTAGAGGAGTGACTTCCCCGAGTGACGATGTGGCACAAATACCAAGCATGACATTTCTCTACCTCCTCTTTGCCTCACTCAGGCAACCCAGACGACTATGAAGGAGAGGATTGCCTTTCCATGCTCATCAACACCGGCTACTGGAACGATGACAACTGTGACTACAATAGAGGATACATATGCAAGCGCAGAGGTAACCTGGTCCTGTACAAATGGTTGTGTCTTTGAAAAGGTTAAAATGTTATTTTTTAAACTCTACTTCCCTGGTTTCTTTCAGGAAACACACCAGTTTCTCCTCCACCCCACGATGGTAAGATAAATGAACCCTGCTCTTATAGACAAAGTATAAACTGTGGACTATTGATGCACATGTTTACTGTTGCCTTTTTTATCTGATTTAAGAGTGTGGAGACTCCTTTTTCACTATCTTTGAAACCTGTTGATCATGTTTGTACGGCTGGTGATCTCCTGTAGGGTTTGAAACTGCTTACATCTGTGAGGATGTAAGCAGTTTCAAATCTTTAAATCTCCAAATACCTGGAAGGGGTGTACAGCTGTGAGAAAAATCCACTGGATTGGTAGGCAACCAGACCCAATCCTAACCAGACCCAACCCCCAACAGACCCAGCCCCCTCCAGCCCCAACCCCCACCAGACCCAACCCCCAACAGACCCAGCCACCTCCAGCCCCAACCAGACCCAACCCTAACCAGACCCAACCCCCACCAGACCCAAATCCCAACCCCCACCAGACCCAACCCCCACCAGACCCAACCCTAACCAGACCCAACCCCCACCAGACCCAACCTTCACCAGACCCAACCCCCACCAGACCCAACCCAACCCTAACCAGACCCAACCCCCACCAGACCCAACCCTAACCAGACCCAAACCTAACCAGACCCAACCCCCAACAGACCCAGCCCCCTCCAGCCCCAACCCCCACCAGACCCAGCCCCCTCCAGCCCCAACCCCCACCAGACCCAACCCCCACCAGACCCAACCCAACCCTAACCAGACCCAACCCCCACCCAGACCCAACCCTAACCAGACCCAACCCCCACCCAGACCCAACCCTAACCAGACCCAACCCAACCCTAACCAGACCCAACCCCCACCCAGACCCAACCCCCACCAGACCCAACCCTAACCAGACCCAAACCTAACCAGACCCAACCCCCAACAGACCCAGCCCCCTCCAGCCCCAACCCCCAACAGACCCAACCCAACCCTAACCAGACCCAACCCCCACCAGACCCAACCCCAACCCCCACCCAGACCCAACCCCCACCAGACCCAACCCTCACCACATTTGGTATTTGATAGAGAATTTTATTTTCCAGAAATGAACTTGAATCATGTTAATTTCCATCTCCTCTGACATCACCACAGTAAACTCCTGGATCCAGGTGAACCTAGGCGAAACCAAAAAGGTCACAGGGGTCGTGATCCAAGGGTGTAAAGATGCAGATCACTGGGTGACTAAATTCAAGATCCAGCACAGTGTGGATGGAAGCCAATGGACTGACTACGTAGACGACGAGGGGTAAATCACATCAAACACACAGGGCCCGTTTCCCAGACACAGTTTATGCCTAGTCCTGGACTAAAAAGCATTTTCACATTTTTTTGTCTAAGGCCAGGCTCAATATGTGTCTGGAAAGTTGGCCCACAATATGTAGGTCTTTGGTCCATCATTCCTGTTTGTCCAGGAATTCACAGGCTGTGTGGACAGGACCACTCCAGAGACACATGTAAGGGGGGATATACAGTATACACTGTAAGTCGCTCTGGATAAGAGCGTCTGCTAAATGACAAAAAAAAAATCAGAAAAAACAAAAAAAAACACATCTTCTGGGCACTTCTGTCTCTGCCCAGTATGTCAGGATTCTTCCCCAGGAATTCAATGGACAGACTGGTCTTCCCTTTGACATCTTGGGATGTACACCTGACTGTAGGCGAAAACTGTTTTGCAACCCTCATATACTGTTGAGAAATGTTTTGTGTCCGCTCAGAATACTGAGAGATGTGTTTTCTTTTCACAGATGCTGTGTCCTGTGATGCAAAGCCCAACTTTAACTTTGCCAATGAAGTCCCTGCATCTACTACCCTCTACTCCAAAATGCCTGCTCAGTGGCCCAGATCCTGACGACTACGCCAAGATCCTGACGACTATGCCAAATGTACCAGGATGGAAATGTGTGAAGTTATTTTGGATCTGGGCTGAGCAGGCAGTGTGAAGTAGAGGAAAAATATGATTTAATAAGACATTAATGGAAAATACATTAAGCTAATTTCACATTGTGTATCTTTCAGTGTACACTGCCCAGCAGGATGTGCGCAAGTGCAATACACTGTGTATGGTTCTGACATATATCGTGGGGTGAGTGAATAATGTGATTTAACCATCAACTCCCAATGCTTCAACAGATAATTTGTAGAAGGAATGTGAGGACACTGATGTATGTTGATGTGTGCTTGCATTACATTGAGGACTCTGACATCTGTGCAGCTGGGATCTATGCAGGAGTAATCCTGAATGATATTGGAGGAGACTGTACTATGTTGAAGGAACCGGGCCAGAACTTCTACAGCGGCTCCACCAAGAACGGCATCACCTCCAGGCAGTTAGTGTCTCATTACTGCATGACGGTGCACTGTCACTGAGCCAGTTTCATCATAGCGCTTGATGGTTTTTGCGACTGCACTTGAAGAAACTTTCAAAGTTCTTGAAATGTTCCGTATTGACTGACCTTCATGTCTTAAAGTAATGATGGACTGTCGTTTCTCTGTGATTATTTGAGCTGTTCTTTCCATAATATGGACTTGGTCTTTTACCAAATAGGGCGATCTTCTGTATATCCCCCCTACCTTGTCACAACACAACTGATTGGCTCAAACGCATTAAGGAAAGAGATTCCACAAATTAACTTTTAACAAGGCACACCTGTTAATTGAAATGCATTCCAGGTGACTACCTCATGAAGCTGGTTGAGAGAATGCCAATAGTGTGCAAAGCTGTCATCAAGGCAAAGGGTGGCTATTTGAAGAATCTCAAATATAAAATATATTTTGATTTGTTGAACACTTTTTTGGTTACTACATGATTCCATATCTGTTATTTCATAGTTTTGATGTCTTCACTATTATTCTATAATGTAATTTTTTTTCTCCAAACTTTTGACTGGTAATGTTCCTGAGACATAGCCTATACATTTTTGAGAATTAGTTAAAAATACATTTTTGTTATAAATAAGTGGGTAAATAATTCAAATATCATGAATGTTGAATATGAGAATGAATGTTGATAGCTTAAGGCTTGTTGTACTGCATATATTGTAGCTAATACATTGGTAATAAAACAAAAAACTAGAACAACTAATTAGTCTAATTATGTTTGACATAATGACCCATTGCATTCAAAAGTACATTTTTCCTGTGTTTTGTATCATATTGTACAACAGCTGATGAAACTGTGAAAACATGTAATCAAATTCATGAAAATGTGGTCATTTAAGATACACTATATATACAAAAGTATGTGGACACCCCTTCAAACTAGTGGATTCGGCTATTTCAGCCACACCCGTTGCTGATAGGTGTATAAAATCGAGCACACCGCCATGCAATCTCCATAGACAAACATTGGCAGTAGAATGGCCTTACTGAAGAGCTCTGTGACTTTCAACGTAGCACCGTCATAGGATGCCACCTTTCCAACAAGTTAGTTAGTCAAATTTCTGCCCTGCTAGAGCTGCCCCAGTCAACTGTAAGTGCTGTTATTGTGAAGTGGAAACATCTAGGAGCATCAACGCCTCAGCTGCGAAGTGGTAGGCCACACAAGCTCACAGAACGGGACTGCCGAGTGCTGAAGCGCGTAGTGCGTAAAAATCGTCTGTCCTCGGTTGTAACACTCACTACCGAGTTCATAACTGCCTCTGGAAGCAAGGTCAGCACAATAACTGTTCATCTGGAGCTTCATAAAATGGGTTTCCAAAGCCGAGCAGCCGAACACAAGCCTAAGATTACCATGCGCAATGCCAAGCGTTGGCTGGAGTGATGTAAAGCTTTCCGCTATTGGACTCTGGAGTAGTGGAAACGCATTCTCTGGAGTGATGAATCAGGCTTCACCATCTGGCAGTCCGACGGACGAATTTGGGTTTGGCGGATGCCAGGAGAACGCTACCTGCCCCAATGCATAGTGTCAACTGTAAAGTTTGTTGGAGGAGGAATAATGGTCTGGGTCTGTTTTTCATGGTTTGGGCAAGCCCCCTTAGTTCAGGTGAAGGGAAATCATAACGCTACAGCATACAATTATATTCTAGACGATTCTGTGCTTCCATCTTTGTGATAACAGTTTGGGGAAGGCCCTTTCCTGATTCAGCATGACAATGCCCCAGTGCACAAAGCGAGGTCCATACAGAAATGTTTTTTTGAGATCGGTATGGAAGAACTTGACTGGCCTGCACAGAGCCCTGACCTCATACTGTTGGTAGTGTCTTAATTTCCTTCTACCTGATACCTTTCATCAAGGTTTTCAATTGTGTTAACTTTTTTTCGTAATCAAAAACCTTCATAAAAGGCATTGGGTAAAGGTAAATTAATTCACAAATATAATATAACATATGTCTTAAATTACCAAATGTTCATGAATTTGATGATATAAGCTTATATAAGCCCATTCAAAAACAGGGACCAGGAGGTAGGCAGGACTTTCATAGGGTATATAATGTTACCCAGGACCTTCTAATCAGCAGGTTTTACATGGGTGGAGTTTTAGCTTGCATGGTGACATCACTAGGCGGTTTAAATCAATAGACCAATAATGAAGAGTTCCAAACTAGAGTTCCAAACTAGAGTTCCAAACTAGAGGGCTGCATTCCAGCCAGAACAGATTATAAGAGAAGCGGTCGTCTTTCTGCTTTGTATGCGTTAGTCTACCTATTGTATTAGACACGCCTCTTTTTTTTTTAAATTTTATTTTAGGGGTAGATCAGCTTTAATATTGTAGATAGATTGTAACTTCCATCAATGTAATTGTCTGCATCACTTCCAATCCCCCATGTGTTTTTTTTTCTCTCGCATATATATATATATATATATATATATATATACAGTGGGGAGAACAAGTATTTGATACACTGCCGATTTTGCAGGTTTTCCTACTTACAAAGCATGTAGAGGTCTGTAATTTTTATCATAGGTACACTTCAACTGTGAGAGACGGAATCTAAAACAAAAATCCAGAAAATCACATTGTATGATTTTTAAGTAATTAATTTGCATTTTATTGCATGACATAAGTATTTGATACATCAGAAAAGCAGAACTTAATATTTGGTACAGAAACATTTGTTTGCAATTACAGAGATCATACGTTTCCTGTAGGTCTTGACCAGGTTTGCACACACTGCAGCAGGGATTTTGGCCCACTCCTCCATACAGACCTTCTCCAGATCCTTCAGGTTTCGGGGCTGTCGCTGGGAAATACGGACATTCAGCTCCCTCCAAAGATTTTCTATTGGGTTCAGGTCTGGAGACTGGCTAGGCCACTCCAGGACCTTGAGATGCTTCTTACGGAGCCACTCCTTAGTTGCCCTGGCTGTGTGTTTCGGGTCGTTGTCATGCTGGAAGACCCAGCCACGACCCATCTTCAATGCTCTTACTGAGGGAAGGAGGTTGTTGGCCAAGATCTCGCGATACATGGCCCCATCCATCCTCCCCTCAATACGGTGCAGTCGTCCTGTCCCCTTTGAAGAAAAGCATCCCCAAAGAATGATGTTTCCACCTCCATGCTTCATGGTTGGGATGGTGTTCTTGGGGTTGTACTCATCCTTCTTCTTCCTCCAAACACGGCGAGTGGAGTTTAGACCAAAAAGCTCTATTTATGTCTCATCAGACCACATGACCTTCTCCCATTCCTCCTCTGGATCATCCAGATGGTCATTGGCAAACTTCAGACGGGCCTGGACATGCGCTGGCTTGAGCATGGGGACCTTGCGTGCGCTGCAGGATTTTAATCCATGACGGCGTAGTGTGTTACTAATGGTTTTCTTTGAGACTGTGGTCCCAGCTCTCTTCAGGTCATTGACCAGGTCCTGCCGTGTAGTTCTGGGCTGATCCCTCACCTTCCTCATGATCCTTGATGCCCCACGAGGTGAGATCTTGCATGGAACCCCAGACCGAGGGTGATTGACCGTCATCTTGAACTTCTTCCATTTTCTAATAATTGCGCCAACAGTTGTTGCCTTCTCACCAAGCTGCTTGCCTATTGTCCTGTAGCCCATCCCAGCCTTGTGCAGGTCTACAATTTTATCCCTGATGTCCTTACACAGCTCTCTGGTCTTGGCCATTGTGGAGAGGTTGGAGTCTATTTGATCGAGTGTGTGGACAGGTGTCTTTTATACAGGTAACGAGTTCAAACAGGTGCAGTTAATACAGGAAATGAGTGGAGAACAGGAGGGCTTCTTAATAACCTCTTAAGGCCCAAGCTGTTTTTTTACATGCATTTCTTATTTCTCTTTGCTATTTGGGCTTTTTGGAACCTAATTAGAATAAAAACTAAGTATCATCTTTTGATATGATGTACTTTTAGAGAAAAATGATGTCCACATATGTGGATTCATGGTCCGAATTGCATTAGGCTAACATTTTCAACACAACTAATTTAAGTATGTATGTATGTATTTAGTGATTTAATTGTTATTTATTTCATTGGGACCATGTACAGCTTTTTAGCTGCATCAGAGCTAGCTTTTTTCCCATTTTACGTGTGTGCATGTTTACAAGCATATTAGCTGTTTCGAGGAGCCTCAGTCCATAAGTACACTTACGTGTACTTCATGTTTAGCGACCTACAAAGTTGCTAGTTTTACACTTTTTTTTTCAAATTTGCATGTCATGACAAATATACAAGGCTTTTATAAATATCTAAATCAGAATAAGCCATGAAATATGACAGAACTTCTACACAATTGTGGACATAAGAGCTAAAAAGTGCTGTCCACGTATGTGACCACTAAGCCCTAGGAGGTTAAAGAAAAACTAACAGGTTTGTGAGAGCCGGAATTCTTACTGGTTGGTAGGTGATCAAATACTTATGTCATGCAATAAAATGCAAATTAATTAGTTAAAAATCATACAATGTGA